GCGAGAGGCAATGCAACAGTATTTTGTTAGTTCTTGTAATTGAATGACAACTTTACGGAGGGCGGGAGGTAGGACGCGTTCTCGGGCGACGCGTAGTTCAGGCCGTGAGGAGGACACGAGGGGGGGAAGGAGGAATGGTAGCCTTGGGCGGAGAGCGGCTGTGGGTGCGGTCGGTAATGCCCCATCGACTGCGGTTGCGGCGGCTGCGGTGGTTGCTGTTGCATGTAGGCTGGTGGCTGCTGCAGTTGTTGATGTTCGTGGATGTGTTGAGGCAGCGGGGGAGGGGAGAGCGCCGGCTGCGGGTTGTAATGGTGGAGGTGCTGCTGGAGCAGGTCTTCGGGTGCGCCCCCTCGCCCTTCCTCCCTCCCTTCCTCCTTGGCCACCCCCGTTCCCAACGGAGAGGAGGTGGTGGAGGGGCCGTCTGTGGGAGGGCCGGAGGGCGGGCGGGGAGGGAATAGGAGGGGAAAGGGAGGTGCGGCTTGTTTAGAGCACATTCCTGTTGGTCTGTGTGGTCACGAAAATGAAAGCGTGGACCCCAAAAACCTACCTGCTTCGGGATAAAGCTCCTTCGACTCCGAGGAAGGGATGGAGGACGGGAGGGAGGGTGTGCTGGAGGAGGGTGCGGTGACCTCGCACGAGTAGAGCGCGCCTGGAAGCCCGTCGAGACGCTGGGGGAAGGAGAGAGGGAGGGAGGGAAGGAGGTAAGGAGGGAGGGTTAAAAACGTCCAAGGAGAGAGTGTGCGGACAAAATAATCGACTTCTGCCACATTGTGCTCGTCAGATGCGTTGGAAAAACACGACAAGGTTTTAAGCATCCACCAAATCTCGCTTTCGTACAGCGCGATCACACTCGCGGCCACCATCAAGACAGAAAGTCGCCCTTGGCTCGGAAAGGGGAAACAAGCTGGTGGGACTACCTGACACAGGAGGAGTGACATAGCAGAAAATCAAGTCACCGAAGGAGCAGTCTCTCCATTCCGCCCTCCCGCCCTCCCGCCCTACCTCCTCCTTAAGGTAGATGCAATAGGTCGTGCGGCCTCCTTGGCTGGCGATGGCGCGGGCGGAGAATGACAGCCCCAGGAAGGAGAGGAAGAGCGAGACCATGTTCAGCTGCTTGGAGTACAAGCTGATCCTGGAGGGAGGGAGGGAGGGAGGGAGGGAGGATGATCAGAGGAGCTTCGATGCCTCGTTCGAGGTCTCTCTGCTTCGACTTTTTTTTCCCCACCGCCCCCGCCTTTTCCCTCCTTTCACCATCCATTGGGTGCCTTACCATCGTCGAAAGAGCGGCTCTCGCCGGTCAATCACGTAGGCCCGCGCTTCTTCGCGTGTCCCGCAGGGCAAGAGTTGAAGCGGGGAGGAAGTGAGGGAGGGAGGGAGGGAGGAAGGGAGGGAGGG